CAGTAACTAAAACCCACAAATTCTTGCAGTTGAATCAAACTTTACAAAAATAACTATTAAAGAGAGCTTGCTGATGGACATTCACAATGAGCAAAAAATAAACACAAATCTCTTGTCAAAAAGCGTGGAAGTTAACGCGCTTTGACGACGCAAAATTCAGTCGTCATATATTGTGAAAAAAGGAAAAGTGAAAAGAAGTAAAAGGCCATGCGGCCTCGGAGAACCTTTACAGGTCTTGTCGCGTATTCCGTCTCCGAAGGAAAGCAGACAGATGCATGGCGAGATGTGAAAATTTGTAATGGTGTAAAATACGGTTTCGGGGAACTTTACCCCTCATTTCCATATCTCGATAGAAAAACTCAATGTACGAATAGACGATACCTTAATAAGTTGAGCAGGTAATGCGCGAAGGAGACGGCTGGCTGCATTCGGATAGAGATAAAATAGTTGATTCACTTGTAGCTGCCTTGTAGGAGTTATGCATTCAACCGAATATTGTGTTGTCCTGATTTTGTTTTCGTCGACTCGTCAAACGTTAAAAATTTGCTCGCTGGGACAGAAGTAAAATTAAAGCTAGTGGCAGTTACTCACGGTTTTTCTTTTCACCGTAAATCGACCGTACTGTTTGCTGATCGATACGTGGTAAAATTTCTGATTGTTGCATTTTTTGATACACTGGATACATGACGAGGTATGACATGTACACACAATAATGAAAGTTTATTGAAAAATACGAATAGATTTCATGAATCCTATTACATACCGTACGATAATTAAATCGGAGTTCAGATACCAATGCCAGTTAATGCGAGGTTTATCACAAAGATGTCGAAGATCACGGCGCTTTTTTGCTTTTGTGATCTCGATCGACACATCATCGTTAAGACAGCAGCCATAAGGTAACTAATTCCAGTATAAAAGTGAATTTCTGAGATAGTAGTGCTGAGCAACCGGAAAGGGGGCTCAGAACTACTCGATTGTCACGTATGTTGCAGCTCTGCAGAGCAATGGGAAACCTAAGAATATGAAGTCTTAACTTCCCGGTATTGACCCCACTGATCAGTAGACCTGCGGGAGGCCCAAAATCAAATTTTTTGATTTTGGTTCTCTCTACCACCGTTTTGGACTGAGATATGAATTTTCTAATAATTCATGGTACGCCTTGTACAGGCAATTGAAAAATTCTTAACTTTTGAAAGAAGAGTCCATGAAATCCATTTAAGAGTGGCTGAAAGGGTTACGGTGTATTATTCGTGTTTAAATGCCATAAGGCAATTGAATCTCATGTAAATGCTGTGAGGTAACTGAATTTAAATGCCTTACGGCAGTTCAAACGTCTGTACGTCAGGTATGTTAGGAGGAGGGCAGAGGGATGAGTATTTTAGTTGTCCTAATCAATTCAGCTTCCTCTCCAGTTACGTTTCTTCTTAATACTATAATAACATGTTCTCATTGAAACATGTTCATAACATGTTCTCAATCATCATTGAAACGAAGGATTGCAATCTGTTCAGCTACTCTCACGTGGCCTGATGGTCTAGTGGTATGATTCTCGCTTTGGGTGCGAGAGGCCCTCGGGTTCGATCCCCGGTCAGGCCCACTTCACTTTTTTCATTTTCTTTTCACCTCAGCCTTACTCTATCGAAACTTGCTCTCTACTATTACAGACAGAATGTCATCTCAATGTATGTGAAGGAAAGGGAGAGATATGAAGATGCTACTTTACTTTTACTAATTATTACATTATCCGGTAAAAGTAATAGGTGTTTGTTACTTATTCCGATAAAAAGGTAATAAATCTTGTTATTTTATTATTTATTATCTTTTATTACATTTCTTCGTATGACTAATAAGTAGAGTAATAAAAATTAATTACTTGAAAAAGGGATACGGAATAAGGTAATCAGATCTTTACTTGTTTCCTGACAATAACTAATAAGTTTTATTAGTTATCACTTGGTAAAGAAGAGTAAAGTGACATCCCTAGAGAGACACATCTGCTTCATTATTTCGTTCAAGTAACTTATTGCACTAACAACTGTTTGGCATATGTATATGTGAATTCAGCAATATGATCAGTGTAAAGCATTGGTGACAGTTCGAAAATTTTCTGGTGAATTCACCATCTTGAAAATCGTCTTTTCCTCTCATTTATAGTTGCCACCCTTCTTCTCAAGACTACCGCGTAATGGATTGAACACATCGTGTTCTTCTTGGCGTATCAATTAATGAAGGACGAGAAGCATGTGTTCATTCTCGATCAAGTTTAAATGAAAATCAAGATGCTATACTATTTAAAGAAGTTTGATATAGCTGTTGTTGATTCTGTATTGTGCAAAGATGACGAAATGTCGTTCGTACTCCTAATTAGACGGCACTAAGTCGTTAATTATCTGAAAAAAACGAGAAAAAAAACTCGATCACGCACAGAGAGCATGATCAAAAAATGTGTACTATAGTTATATACTACAGGCAAGTAGAGAAAAGAAATACAGAAGCACGTCCGTTTAGTAAAGTGAAATGTGTGATATGATTAGGCATGCAACGGTAACGATTATCGATCCTTACCAATTATCGTCATACTGATTATCGGTTATTCGATCGCTTAACCGATCATCGCTTCTTACCGATTATCGTTCCGCTATGGGCGTCTTGAACTGTTTTTACATCTATGAGTAGACCGAAATTTTGTGAGTCTTACGGTAGTTCTTTTTATAAAATTTGGATCAAACTTGACTGAGTTATGAAGAATAAATTGAACTAGAGTCATATATATACACCTGCATATGTGAGAAGGGGTATCTCTTATTTGTTAATTCTCTGATATAAGGAAGACAAGAAAAGAAAAAGATGAAGAGTTTATCCTTGCTACAAACTCACTTTCTCTATTTTGATTTTGCTCAGCAAGCGTCCGAAACGTATCGGTTTTATTATTCGGTAAGAAGCAAGAAGTATGATAACGACAATCGGTAAGATACGATAAAACCGATAACGATAAACCAATAAATTATCGTTACTTTAAGATAAACTATTTTTCCGAAAATCATACCGCCTAGTTTTTGAGTTATCTGGTTCAGAATTTGATTGTTTGACAAAAACACAGCACTTTTTTCTTATCCAAGAGAATATTCACTTAAACAAATTAAATGTTAATAGTCAAGTTTCGAAAGAAATTCGGTCAACTAAGATGGCTTTCTGTTCGCGCCATCCTAGGTAAGTCTTCGAAATCAATTGTAGAGCTAAATGAAAAAGCGAAAGGTAATAAAAAGAAATGTATCGTTATATGTAAAATGTTCTATTCAAATTTGGCCTTTTAAGCTCGATATTTTCCTTTCGTTCTTCCGCCTTACTATATTCTGTTTTTCTAATTTAGGACTTCAAAAACACAAAATCGATCATCATAACTGCCATTATATTTTTAATTTCACTGATGAATATCCTAAAAAGAATCCGTAGCAGTGGTCCCATAGAAAACTTATGTTCTCTCTCTATACAAGCAGACAGGGACAAAGCGTGAAAATACATAGTTTATTACGGAGAGTTTTCAAGGTCGAAGCAAATGAGTGACAGAGTAAAATCACTAATGCATATGGACAAGGCCAATCTCGATTCCACAGACCAATTTGCTCTCTTTTATTTGTATTGTTGCTTGTAAATAAGATTTGTTTGTCTTTCCAGAGATACCTGTGTTCTAAATATTTTCTGTGTTTTATTCATGATTAAAGCTGGGCAGTGGTAGTACCAATATTTCCGATGATGAATGGAGAGATATATTATGCGGCATATGACATTATGCAATTTGGGTTTGTATAAATGTTGTGAAATAGAAGAATTTTTCTAGAAATAGAAAAATTTCTTTTTAAACTTTTTACCGTATACTTTCTTTATATCATTAAAATCCAGCATTATATGAAAAGAAAAATGCATACGTCGACGATAAGTCAATGCTCTAACTTCTAAGTTACGAGACAAGCTTTAAACATGCACTTCTTTTCACATAACGAATGATTTTTATATTCCAATGATCTTTTAACGTTGAAACGTGCGATGTACTCAGTCATGACGAAGTCGTGGTCAGTGACTAACGATGATGCAGAATTCGCTTCCTCTTACGAGGAAAAATATATATTGAGACAGTAAGAAGCAATGTAATTTTAAATTTTGTCTTCTAGTTCCTGTAGATCATCAAATTTTCACACGTTAGAACATACCGCTCTTCTTTCATACAATGTCTGGATTTTAATGATTCAGAAATGTAAGATGCCCGCAATTCACAAATGCAGCACTATCTTAACTTTCTGTCGAAAGCTACATAGTCGGATAGCCCTAACTGAGCTAATTCCGAATATCACCTTTTGATTCGAATTCGATCAAGTTTTCGGGGAAATCCTCGAAATACTAAGAGCACCAATAGAACAAAAGATTTGCATCCCTCTGAGAAAACTTGAGATTTTGCTGCCTTCCGTTCACTGTAATTTTTCGAATTTGGTATATTCGAATTCATCATCAAAAACTGAGTCTATTCGTGTACCTTTGAGTCACAAAAAACAAAATACCTGTGTTGTACAATTTTGACAAGAGTAAGCGCTCGACAAAATGAGCTACCTCTCCCGCAAATCTATCTCCTCCCTGGTTTTAAAACTTTTCTCCGATCGTCATACGCCATTCGAATCAGCATTTATAGGCGAATAAAAGTAAATAAACTTTTGTTATTTTGTTCTGACATTTTCCCTTTGGCTCAAATGAGTACGCATGCACCCAAGAAAGTTATATGAAAATAGTTATATGGAAAGTAACACATTTGATTCGAAAAACAGTTTTTCTCTGTAAAAAAGGCATATTATTCATAGCTTTGTCTTTCTAGTAATCTATTTGATTTTAACGGCGGCAGCTGTCTAGTACCAAATTCGATAATTCTGAATATATATATATATTTGGATTATGTTACCGTTAAGATCGAACCATTAGCTGAAACATTAAAAATCATCGTTTCTACCATCATGATGAATAGATTCGTTATCGTCTGTATTTACATTATTATCAATTTATCGCTCATTCTATCAACTCCAACAAAATTAAAACCATTGGAATACGACATCAGTCTTGTACATGCGCAATATATAATAAAGGCGGGATTGGCCAAGTCACACGAACTTGGAACCAAGATGAACATTGCCGTCGTGGATGCCGGTGGTAATCTGAAAGCGTTTGTACGAGAAAATGGCGCCTATATCGGTAGCATTGATATAGCGATCAAAAAGGCGAAGACAGCTCGCTATTTTGACCAAGTCACGGACGACTTGGGTGCGCAATCGCAGCCAGGTGGACCATTGTACCAGATTGAAGTAAGCAACGGCGGTTTAATTACCTTCGCTGGTGGTGTTCCGATCACGAATGAGGATGGTGCTGTGATTGGCGCAGTCGGTGTATCGGGCAGTACAGTTGAAAACGATAAGGTAGTCGCTACTTTTGCTGCTGCTGCCAAGTGAGTCTGTCAGAACAAGAGGAATAACAAAAAGGGACGTTCGATACAAAGCACATTGAAAGTTTTTAGTAGCAAAAGAGCTTTATATCAATGGAAAGATTTAATTTTTGTTTTCTATGGATCTAATTTTCGAATTTTTTTTGTTTATTATCTCATTTCTGTTTTAAAAATAAGTCGAAAATTCTATTTAGTCAGGACACTGGAGAGCTCCGACTTTACGCTGTAAATCGACATGGGAATAAAATCGTAAATCAGTTCATCATCAACTTTCGAATATAAAAGTCTTAAGCAACACATAAGAAGCTTCAAAAAAAGAAACTATTTCTTGAATAAATAATGAAAAAAGAACTATATACAGAGAAAACAAACCACTGTTCATTTCAAAATATAGTGTGAATGATTCCAACACGAATAACTCGAGGATGGAATGAGTAACTTGATCAAGTCACTGAGGCTATCACAATCTTACCGCGATTCAAAACTTCGTCTCGCTGCTCCGGCTTTGCGAATTCGAGTTTAATCAATTTCATTTTGTTTTTTGATTCTGATTACATTTTTGATATCCGAGTATGCCCCCTTCAGATCATTTGTAACTTGATCAAAATCCATATTCAAGCCAACATGTTTAACAATAAGAGACAATTGTGGAGGCGACGAAAGATGAGTATATAATTGACCGTGAATAATTTGCGACCAATTAAGATAATCGTATAAATGAGCAAATAAATGCTTGCCCTTTACGAATAACAAAATGTCAACTCCGTTTGGATCACATTTACGAATAGAACGACGATACCCAGCAAATTCGATAACTACCCCACGAGTTTGTTTCAAATGCGCACTTAGGTCTTCAGCTACCTTTTGTTCCTTGATGCTAGAGGATGAGAAACGTACGACAAAGGGTAACAATGGGTAACGTGTTAGGGCGTAGCGAGTGAGACAGTCTTCGAATGAGACTGTTGTTTGTTAATTGTTAAATTAGAATTAGAGTTTACCGAAGTTCTATTAATTGTTGTACATTGATTTACTGTTGACAAGCCATTATTAACTTGATAAGATGAAGACATAAGTACTGGAGAAAGGGAGTGAGCCTCTTTTGATTTTTTACCATTAACAATTCGAAATCAGTCTTTGATTTCGTCATAATCCGAATGTGTACGACGAATTGATCGAGCAGGCGAATTAACAGGTAACATATTTGAATTGGTAGGAGGAGGAACACGAGTTTGTTGAGAATCTGCTCTGTTGTTTCTATGCATTTGATAAGATGCGTCGCACTGATCATCATTTAACATAGCAAGTGAATCACCAACGATCTGAGCAGTAGTCTTTGCCGCCTCATAACGATAATTCTGATAACCAGTATTGTAAGAATTATATTGGTAATTAGACGGCACTAAGTCGTTAATTATCTGAAAAAAACGAGAAAAAAACCCGATCACGCACAGAGAGCATGATCAAAAAATGTGTACTATAGTTATATACTACAGGCAAGTAGAGAAAAGAAATACAGAAGCACGTCCGTTTAGTAAAGTGAAATGTGTGATATGATTAGGCATGCAACGGTAACGATTATCGGTCCTTACCAATATTTGTTCGATAGTTTTGTTGATTGCCATGAAGTCTTTGACTGATGAAGATCGAGTGAAATCATTTTGAAAGAAAATCATCTAATCAAAGAAACGAAGATTTTGTTTCGACGATTGAAGGTTGATTTTTCGATCTCGCGTCACAATCGAATTCGATGAAAATTGATCATTTCTCTTTTTCTGTGAATTTTTGGCTGTGATTATGTTTATAAACATGAGAATATGGTTAGTTGTAGACAGGTAGCAACCTCCAAACAAAAGATCGAAGCCAAAAGTAATTTTCTGCTGAAAACCCTCCAGAAACCATCTGAAGGATCTCTAGAAATCCTGCGAGTGTCACCGTTGGATTCTTCGTGCCTTTTAACCTACTTGACTTTCTTACAACTTCGTTTCGAGTAAAACTCACGAAAAGAGGCGAAAAGAACCTGACCATTTGAGCATTGTTGTCAGTAAAAGTCATTTTTCTCAGCGAGAAAAAGGAATTTCGAAAAAGACTCTCTTTTAAGTTGAAGAGAAGCTCACGGGGAATCGAACGCAGTGTGAATTGAGGCGCTACGACCTTCCAGAAAATAGAAGATAGGTTTGCAAAAAAAGGAAGGATTTTTTGAGCGTTTTTCTCTCGGTGTGCCTACCGCAAAGGGATTTTGGGTCTAAGATCTTTCTCAGTCCATATTCTTGTACAGTTTTCGACGCTGAACAAGAATATGTGTGTTAGAATACTCCAACTCCAAACCAGGCTAAAAAATTTCAAATTCAAAAAAAGACAGCGAAAACACATTTGATTCGAAAAACAGTTTTTCTCTGTAAAAAAGGCATATTATTCATAGCTTTGTCTTTCTAGTAATCTATTTGATTTTAACGGCAGCAGCTGTCTATAATTTTGAAGCATTCATGAGCAGATGAAAAATTACAAGATCGTTTCGGTGCTTTTATTCTGACAGGATTATACCTGTTCCGATACTTCTGTATTCTGTAGTTGATCGAAATATACTTCCAGTGCATGATGTCGAAAATTTCAATGTTCTTAAGTTATATTACTATTAATAGTTGTAAATTCTTTCAGAATAGTCAAGACAATTACAGATATTGCTGGACCAGAATAAAAATAAAAACTAATCATATCGAGCATAGTGTGTGGCCATCTGAAATTCTCCGCATTCTACAAAACTTTTTCCACTTCACCTGAAACTGGTCTGGTTTACAGAGCCCGACGAGTTACAGGAATAATGAGGCCATCATTCTATCTTTAAAAATCGAGGAGGCTTTGTATGTTGGTTGGCTTTCGATATGTTGGCTTTCGTCTATTCAGAAGTGAAAGGCTTTTCAAGAATCATAAAAGATCAATCATCTATCCGATAGCAAATATTATTTTATAATATATAGTACTCTTTCAATGTTATTAGTAAAGCCAACTGAATGTGCGCGCATAATATGAAAGCGAAAAACTTTTTTCACAGTATTCAGAGTACTGCCACGCCACGGTTAATTACTACGTAGTCCATCTTAAGTACAGTTCATATATCTAGGTTTTCCATAAATATCGGTAGTGATTTCATTATCTTTATTCGCTACACGAACATAGAGAAAGTGTAGTTTGTTACTTACGTATATTTCAACTGTGAATTTGATGTGATCATTCGATTTATTCTTGAATTTAACAAAGTATAACATGTCCTTTTAAGGGGAGACCCCCTCCCCCTTATACGTACCTTCAAATTTTGTCAGTTTAAAGAGGACATCTGACTACATGTATCCTTAAGTTCTTTCGATGAACTGGTAAGTATTCGCAGAGTTATTAATTAAGTTTAAATTTTAATTAGAATTTGGGTAACTGGTTCCCATTTTGCAAAGCTTGTAGCTCGGTTAAAAATAACCATAGAAATGTCGTTCTCGCATTGTTCGATAGCCAATGATCTATTGTGATAGTTTCATGAGAAAAAAGTTTAAAAAAGCTCTTTTAAGATACTGATTTGTAATTATTTAAAACTAATTGGCATCACTCTGGTGCATTACCTGTTTATCTGCAAGCTAACCGTTTATTGTAAGTCATGCTTCAAGTAAATAACCTTGCGACTGTAACTTAAAACAATAAATTCAGTAGTAATGACAAAATACTGACGAATGATCTCAGTTTACAAACTCTCGATATTGTTATTCATATTCTGGATAGTCTAGTTACAGCTGGACTAGTTAACCCGATTCAGACTTCAAACTCCTTCTTTCTGCTCTATGGATCTTAAGTAAAAATAATTGTTCCGTTGAAATTGATGAAGAAAACCAAAAGCTTGCAATTATGCTTCCTGGCAGTCATTTTGACGAATATGCGGATCACCTTGTCTATATCTTGTCAACAGTAAGCGTCAAGGCCGGAACAGACCGTTTTTTAAAATTTATCTACTAGCTGGACCCAAAAAATGGCCTCGAACGATTTGTGATAAATAACACGTCTCTATCTACCAAATAACTACACAAAGTAATGACTAATAAAGAAAATAAACATATTTCATGCTTCAGTACACTAACACCTTACTAGGATATTATTGGCAAACCAGTGCTTTTAATATTTGTCTAAACTTGTAGTAAAGTTTGAAAGACCCTAGTCTCTAAGCGGTTCAGTCTAACGATCAAAGATGAGCAAGTTAGAATTGTTCAGATACAACTAAGGAAATCAGACTCTTACAATGTTGATGGGATCTGCTAAGAAACCCTTTTCTACGATCTCTAAGAGACGAATCCCATTGATTGAGCATTCCATCGAATGATTCGAAATCTTCAGACGCTCTCTGTTGTCTGGCATCAATTTGATTTAACTATTTCGACATTTTTCCGGACGTTCGTCCTCTCTTTGAGCATTTGAATTGAATTCTTATCAATTTTCATCGAATTCGATTGTGACGCGAGATCGAAAAATCAACCTTCAATCGTCGAAACAAAATCTTCGTTTCTTTGATTAGATGATTTTCTTTCAAAATGATTTCACTCGATCTTCATCAAGTCAAAGACTTCATGGCAATCAACAAAACTATCGAACAAATCAGAGAAGGAATACAAACCAATAAAAAATCAACATCGACAAACAACAACTAACACGAACTACGATCGATTGAGAAGCGTTGCACTCGATTATTATAAAGATCGACGACATAGAGATTGCCGTGTCGATCGAATGATATACCCGCAGGACCATCGAGTTGGTTCGGTTGTTCTCCTTTGCTATTTCCACCAACAACAAGACTACCCTGTGCGGCTCCTTTGGGCCAACGCGTTATTCGATGATTTCTAAAGTCTGCCACATAGACAGTGCCCAACTGATCGACGAGCACTCCTGCAAAAGATGATAATTGTCTGAGAACATTTCCTAAACCTTGATCATCAGCCACGACAATGCCTGCTTTCGCGTCTTTCACCCACTTCATCACACGATGATTATTGTTGTCCGACACGTACACTGATTGATCACGATCGACGAAGACAGAGCGAGGGACACTGAGCTGATCGAGACGATAACCCCGTCCGTTGCCGCCCGCCACCAGTGTTCCACTTGATTCGCCAACTCGCCAACGTCTTACTTCATGCTTTCCAAAGTCGCAGACGTAAAAAAATCCATTGTCGTCTATTGTCAAGTCGAAGCACTTGATATCCGAGATGATTGTTTCTCCTTTTGTTCCGCCTCGACGAGGCCATCGCATCACTCGACTGTTCCCATGGTCGCAGATAAGAAGACTATCTGTTTCGTTGTCGATAATCACATCTATTGGAAGATTCAGCTGATCATTCCGATTTCCTCGTCCATTTCCACCGGCAATCACATGTCCACTCGTCGCGCCAGGCTTCCATTCCACAATACGGTCATTCTCGTGGTCAGCGATGACGATGGTTTGATCATCGTCAACATATAAACCCTGTGGGTGAGAAAGTTGATTGAGCCCATTGCCACTTCCATGACCCCCAGCCACAGTGATTCCGTTCGGCGTCCATCTGGTATTCGCAGCGATGCCAAAGTCACGCGGCGATTCTGTAGTGAAACAAAGAATCAATGTAAATGTTCGATGAGATCAAAGTTTTTGAGCGTCGATGTTACACGAATGATCTTTCGAAAAAGAAACACCAGAACGGTTCATGGAAAAAAAACGAATTTCGATCATTTCTCACTCGATCATCTGGGGGAAATGATGATTTTATGTGGAATCTAAGCGATGATTCATGAGGTATTCATGCCAAATGATAAAACTTTAATTTTATTTAATTCATTAAATTTGCTTACAATTCGTAATGAATAATATTATAATATAATTTATACTATAAGCCAAATGTTTCAATATATTAGCTAAATTTTCTTCAGTGGCAAAAACCAGTAAAAGAAAAAGAATTTAAATTTAAATTAGAGTAAGACATTTTTAAAAATGTTAAACATAAGTTATTACAAGTAATTTTATGTGTACAATAGTTTTATTGTTAACATCTTATGTGCTTTTAAAAAGTTACTTGTGATAACTTATGTTTAATATTTTTAAAAATGTCTTGATCTAATTTAAATTTAAATTCTTTTTCTTTTTCTTTTACTGTTTTTTTGCCACTGAAGAAAATTTAGCTAATATATTGAAACGTCTGGCTTATAGTATAAATTATATTATAATATTATTCTTTACGAATTTTAAGCAAACTTAATAAACTAAATAAAACAAATATTTACAGTTTGTGCAGGTTCATATTTTATAGCCTAGTTAGATGTCCAGACAGTCAGATATTTACAGCGGACGGAAGGAGGGAGAGAGCGCGGAGCATGAGAGTGAGTAACAAAATACCATCTCTGGTGTACCGAGAAACAATACCTCGGATGTTATTTGAATAGGACTGGAGTTTGCATCTTCTATGCAGATAGAAATGCGTGTAGAGTATTTCGTCTCAGATCGTGTTGGATACCGCTACATTATTAGAAATGACTATTGACACCCGCCGTGATGTGAGGAGTGACTATTGACACCATTGAGTAGTGGCACTAAAGGCTACTGACACCTACTGAAAGTGGCAGGAAGGTATTGACAGTAGTTAAGGGTGTCAACAAAGACTTCTTACATTTTTCAGTTTTACTAATGTTCCCAACTGGTTTTCACTACAAAAAATATCAATCCGCTATAGAGTGAGTGCAATACGTTGTGAAGACTGGTTTTGCCAATTGACAGAAAATCGTGACATTCTACAAATTGGCAAAAGATTCCCTCGGGAACTTAGGGATGACGATGTAGGTCACTACAGCATGATGTCTAATTTTTAGGAAGTCCAGTTGGTGGAGTGTCACAGACATTTCTGCCAAATGACAGAACCACATCTGGCACTCCGACAATTTGTTAGAGTATATATATAACATATTCAGACCTTTCATTTCTCTCTCTTTTCATTGTCATCCTCTTTAAGAGAAATATCTTCATTGTATTCAAGCAAGATGTTTTCACTCTATTCACATCCATTATAG